TGTTGGCTGCAACAGCGGCGCTGAGATTCATGTTGCTTTTTTGCCCGGAAATCTCCTGGCCTGGCTCCCTATTTCAGTTTCCCTTTTAATCAGATGAGTGGGTGACTCTGCCTTCCCGGAGCTCCAATCGCCAGCTAAAAGGGCACCCAGACTGGTGTATTTTGTATGGAGAACCGCCACGCCCGGGCCCCAGCAAAACAGCCACGCCAGCCAAAACAACCACACTGGCAACCGTGGGGCTCCTCCACCTGGGAATCTCCTGGTCTGTGGGCAATAAAAATCCATCTGGAAATGCGGCGTCCAGTCACCCTCTGAGCTTTCACTGGGAGCTGCAATCCCGAGCTGCTCCTAATCGGCCATCTTGGATCTTCCCCCTATAATTGTGTTCTACCTTCTTTCTCAAAATCTTTTTAATTGTGGTAAAATACACATAACATAAATGTACCATCTTAACCATTTTTAGGTATCAGTAGTAAATACATTCACATTGTTTGCAGCCAATCTCCAGAACTTAAAACCTAGGAAAACGAAAACTGAAATGCCCACTAAACGACTCCTCATATCCCTCCTTCCTCTCCAACCCCTGGCAATCACTATTCATTGACTCTATGAATTTGACTAGCATAGGTACCTCATCTGCATGGAATCAGTCTTCTTTTGACTGGCTTATTCACTTACCATAATGCTGTCAAGGATTATCCATGTTGTAGAATGTAGAATTTCATTGTACATACCATGTTTTGTTTATTCATTCATTTGTTGATGGATATTTGAATTGCTTCCACCTTTTGGCTATTGTGAATAATACTGCTGTGAACATGGTTGCACAGCTATTTCTTTGAGGCCCTGCTTTCAGCTCTTTTGGGTATATATCCAAAAATGGAATTGTTGTTCATATGGTAATTCTTTTTGAGGAACTGCCATAGTTTTCCATAGTGGTTGCAGCATTTTACATTTACCATCAACAGTGTACAAGTGTTCCAGTTTCTCCACATCCTCAGCAATACTTGTTATTTTGTGGGGTTGGGTTGTTTTTTTGTTTTCTTGATAGTGACCATCTCAGTGGATGTGAGGCAGTGTCTTGCTGTGAGATGCAGTTTCCTAAAATTATTAATTTTCAGCATCTTTTCCTGTAGTTGTTGGCCATTTTTATATCTTTGGAGAAATATCCAAGTCCTTTGCCCACTTTTTAAATGGGTTGTTTATTTGGTTGTTGTTAGGTTGTAGCAGTTGTTCATGTATTTGGGTTATTAATGCCTTACCATATATATAAATTGCAAGTATTTTCTCTCATTCCATGGGTTTCCTTTTCATTCTGTTGATTGTGTCATTTAATGCACAGAGATTTTAAATTTTGATGTCTATTTTAGGCGTTTTTACTGTTTTTATCTCTGCTTTTGGTGTCACATTCGAGAAATCATTGCTAAATTCAACGCTATAACACTCTCCATTTTCTTCTAAGAGTTGATGATAGTTTTGATTCTTATGTTTAGGTCTTTGATGTGTTTTGAGTTAATTTTTGCATGTGGTAGTGGTCCAACTTTCATTTTATTTGCATGTGCATATCCAGTTTCTCCAGCACTGCCCCCAGCCCCCCTTTTTTTGAAACAGTCTTGCTCTATCATCCAGGCTGAAGTGCAGTGGCAGTGATCTCTTGCTTCAGCCACCCGAGTAGCTGGGATTATGGGTGTGTGCCACCACACCCAGCTAATTTTTGTATTTTTAGTAGAGGCGGGGTTTCACCATGTTGGCCAGACTGGCCTCAAACTCCTAACCTCAAGTGATCCACTCACCTTGGCCTCCCAAAGTGCTGGGATTACAGGTATGAGCCACCATGCTGGCCCGCAGCACCCTTTTATGAAAAAATGGACTTTTACCTTTGAATAGTCTTGGCACCTTATTGAAAATCATTTGACCATGTATGTGAGGATTTCTTTCTGGCTGTCCATTCTTTTCCATTGATATATGTCTGTCTTTAATGCCAATATCATGATGTTTTGATTACTATAGCTTTGTAATTTTATTTATTATTATACTTTTTTGAGACAGTGTCTCACTGTTACTCTGGACAGAGTGCAGTGGTGCAATCTTGGCTCACTGCAGCCTTCACCTCCCAGGTTCAAGTGATTCTTCTGCCTCAGTCTTCCGACTAGCTGAGACTACAGGCTTGCACCACTCCACCCTACTATGTTTTGTTATTTTAGTGCAGATGGGGTTTCACCATGTTGGCCAGGCTGGTCTCAAACTCCTGACCTCAGGTGATCCACCCGCCTCAGCCTCCCAAAGTATTTGGGATTACAGGCGTGAGCCATTGCGCCTCGCCTGTAATAAGATTTAAAATAGGAAGTGTGGGACCTTCAACTATGTTCCTTTTCAAGATTGTTTTGTCTGTTTTGGGTCTTAGCCCATTTATGTCTGCTGTTCCGTTACTGGAACGCTAAGCTTGTGGGAGTTGTTTATATTATGCTCAGTGTCATTGCCAAGGTCTGATTTTTCACAGGAAAAATCTGCAACCTGAGTCATAAATAGGTTAATGTAGTTTTTAATGGTAAGCTCTAGAGATGTTACCATGAAAATGAAAAACAGAAAAATGCTTTCTTTGATTATTTCGTGTTTTATTCAGAGCAGTAAAATGGAAAACAAGTAAGAGGTATAAATTATGGAAAGGAGGATAAAACCTTGTTATTTACAAATGCTATGATTCTATACCTAGACAGCTAAATTGAAAGAAAGAAACTGGGCCGGCCGGGCACAGTGGCTCATGCCTGTAATCCCAGCACTTTGGGAGGTCAAGGCAGGTGGATCACTTTAAGGCAGGAGTTCCCGATCAGCCTGGCCAACATGATGAAACCCTGTCTCTACTAAAAATACAAAAAAATTAGGCGTGGTGGTGCATGCACTGTTATCCCAGCTACTTGGGAAGCTGACAGAGGAGAATTGCTTGAATTTAGGAGGCAGGGATTGCAGTGAGCTGAGATCGCACCATTGCACTCGAGCCTGGGCTACAGAGCAAGACTCTGTCTCCAAACGAAAAAAAAAAAAGAAAGGAACAAACCGAAGATGATTAAGAAGACAATTCAGTAAAGTGACTTGGCTAAATAAAAACCATGAAAATAAATAATTTCTGTATTTCAGCAGTAGCATAAACATGTTTTTATTTTACTGGTAACTTTTATTTTGCGACAGGATCTTAGCTCTGTCACTCTGGCTGTAATGCAATGGTGCCATCTTGGTTCACTGCAACCTCCGCCTTGTGGCACGTCCCTGTAATCGCAGCTACTTGGGAGGCTGAGATGGGAGAATGGCTTGAACCCGGGAGGCAGAGGTTGCAGTGAGCCAAGACTGATCCACTGTACTCCAGCCTGGGCAACAAAACAAGAGCAAGACTTTCTCTCAAAAAAAAGAGAGAGAGAGAGAGAGTCCTTAGGCTTGAATTTTGGGGAAAGGAGAGCCTGTCACTTTTCTGACTGAATTTAGAGTTTATTGAATAAATGCTGCTACTTTTTTTTTTGAGACGGAGTCTTGCTCTGTCACCCAGGCTGGAATGCAGTGGTGCAGTCTCGGCTCACTGCAACCTGAGCCTTCTGGGTTTAAGCGATTCTCGTGCCTCAGCCTTCCAAGTAGCTGGGATTACAGTCATGTGGCACCATGCCATGCTAATTTTTTTTGTTTTTTGTTTTTTTTTGAGACAAAGTCTTACTCTGTCACCGGGTGCCAGGCTAAGTGCAGTGGCACGATCTCTGCTCACTGCAACCTCTGCCTCCCAGGTTCAAGCTGTTCTCCTGCCTCAGCATCCCAAGTAGCTGGGATTACAGGCACCCGCCACCACGCCTGGCTAATTTTAGTAGAGACAGGGTTTCACCATGTTGGCCAGACTGATCTCGAACTGACCTCAGGTGATCCACCTGCCTCGGCCTCCCAAAGTGCTGGGATTACAGCTGTGAGTCACCATGCCCAGCCAGTTTTTGTACTTTAGGTAACAACGGGGTTTCACCATGTTCACCAGCCTGGGCTTGAACTCCTGACCTCAAGTGATCCGCCCACTTTGGTCTCCCAAAATGCTAGAATTACAGGCATGAGCCATTATGCTCAGCCTGTTTCTTCATTTCCTGTTTGCCTTTAGGACCATTTCCAGAGGCTTTGAGTGCTTGTTGTTTGATAATTTTTGCTACTTCCACTGAGGAGCAGGCAGTGGAGCCTCCTCATGCTGTTATGCTCAGTGTCAACCTCCTATAAACTTTTTGAACTAGCATTCATGCCTCCATAGGGCATAGCTTAGAAAAGCATTTCCTTCATTCTGAGCCTTGACCATGCTTCATAAGGAACTCTTAATATACCCCTTAACATCTCAACTTTCAGGTACTGTTCTTTCATGTTATAAGAGGCCAAGAGTGTTGATTTCTCATGCTTATTTTCCATAAACAATCAATTCAGTTTATGTGAAATTGCAATAAAAGGGAAAATCTGCACATGAGTACAGAGTTTATAAAAGAAGTGAAAATAATAGTAGATAATTTTAACATGGAGGGTATAGCACCATAGTTGGGTTCTATTCAGATTGGCTTGAAGTTGTTGCAGTTAACTCTTGCCTTCTCTGACCTGACTTAGACATCAGAATCATCAGGCTTCGGCCGGGCACAGTGGCTCACGCCTGTAATCCCAGCATTTTTGGGAGGTCAAGGTGGGCAGATCACCTGAGGCCAGGAGTTCAAGACCAGCCTGGCCAACATGGTGAAACCCTATCTCTACTAAAAATACAAAAATTAGCTGGGCGTGGTGGCAGGTGCCTGTAATCCCAGATACTGAGGAGGCTGAGGCAGGAGAATTGCTTGAACCTGAGAGGCAGAGGTTGCAGTCAGTGAGATCATACCACTGCACTCCAGTCTGGGCACTAAGAGTAAAACTCCGTCTCCAAAAAAAAGAGAAAATCAGTCTTATCCTTCAGTTTTGCTATCCTCTTAAATGAACATTTATTTATTATGATTTTTTTTTTCTTTCAGGGACCACTTAATAGTGAGTCTTCCAACCAGAGCTTGTGCAGTGTGGGATCCTTGAGTGATAAAGAAGTAGAGGTAAGAAACTACGTTCATGGCAAGACTTTTCATACTTCCACTTTTGGGCCAGGCTTGGTGGCTCACACCTGTAATCCCAGCACTTTGGGAGGCTAACGTGGGCAGATTGCTTGAGGCTGGGAGTTTGAGACCAGCCTGGGCAACATAGAGAGAACTTGTTTCTACAAAAGAATCCAAAAAAACTTAGCAGGGGGGTGGTAGTGCACACCTGTGGCCCCAGCTACTTGGAGGCTAAGGTGGGAGGATAGTTTGCACCCAGGTGGATGAAGCTGCAGTGAGATGTGATGGCACCACTGCACTCCAGCCTGGGTGACAGAGTGAGACTCGGATCTCAAAGAAAAGATAGCACTGCTTAAGTAACTCCCAGGGTGCTGTTAGACTCTGTGTCAATGGCTCCCCTTTGAGTTGTGTGCTCTTTGCCTATGTACAGGTATGATATGGCCCTCGTGGGTTTTTATTATTATAATCATGTATGGATTTTACATATTTTAAAATTTTTGCATAGTTGTCATCAATAAAGGATAGAAATCTGCAATATTGTTCCCGTTTAAATGAAAAATAAGATTGATTGATTTTATTTTTACAACATTTTTTGAGACAGGGCCTTGCTCTGTCATGCATACTGGAGTACACAGGTGCAGTCATAGCTCATTGTAACCTGACACTTCTGAAATCAAGCAGTCCTCCTGTCTCAGCCTCCTTAGTAACTAGGTGCCACCATGCCCAGCTAATTTAAAAAAAATTTTTTTTTTTTTTTTTTGAGACAGAGTTTCGCTCTTGTTACCCAGGCTGGAGTGCAATGGCGTGATCTCGGCTCACCACAACCTCAGCCTCCTAGTAGCTGGGATTACAGGCACGTGCCACCATGCCCAGCTAATTTTTTTTTTTTTTATTTTTAGTAGAGACGGGGTTTCACTATGTTGACCAGGATGGTCTCAATCTCTTGACCTCGTGATCCACCCGCCTTGGCCTCCCAAAGTGCTGGGATTACAGAATTTTTAAAATATTTTTATAGAGACGAGGCCTTGCTGTGTTGCCCAGCTGATCTGGAACTCTTGGGCTCAAGCCATCTTGCACCTCAGCCTCCAAAGTGCTGGGATTATAGACATGAGCCACAGTGCCTGGCCAACATTTTTTGTTCATTTATTTAACTTTTCACAGCCCTCATGCACAAGATTTTATTATTATTAGGCATATAACCTAGCTGCCTAGATATGGGTCTCAGTGTAAGTCTGCAGCCAACTACTCTTCATTTAGATAAAACTATGCAGATCTTTCCTTTTTGGAAGAAAAATTGGATTTAAAGTAGAAGGACTGTAACAGCAGTTTTCTGAGAGCCTAACATATGGTGGACATTTGTCCTACATGTGTGCTCTGTTAAACATCTTACAAAAGTTTTGTAGCACCTCTGACTTACAGATAAATAAACTGAAGCTCTGATATTTTAAGCAGTTTACCAAAAATTGTGTGGATGGTTTGGTTCTAGATTCTATACTCTTTGTTATACTCAGTTTTTTTTTTTTCTTTGCCTGTGCAGAAGACAGATGTTAAACTGCTTTAAGAGGAGGACAGTGATTCAGGACTTGTCTGGGCCAGTTATTTCTGTGTATATATTCAGTATTTTGTGTATACTCACTGTTTTTCCTAACGTGAAAGATTTACCAAAATGCTAATTGTGGCGTATATGGTATTTAACAGACTCCCGAGAAAAAGCAGAATGACCAGCGAAATCGGAAAAGAAAAGCTGAACCATATGAAACTAGCCAAGGTAGTAGTAATTTCATATCAACAAAAGTACTCAGTTCTAATGTACTTAGATAGATTTTTCTAACTTATACTACATAATTAGTTTGTACCCAGGGATTCCTGGTAAAGGAGGTTTGCCATTTGATATTCACCTGACAAAACAGTGTTAGTTCTTCGGGGACTCTTTTGTTTTCCCTGTTGTAAGTTAACAGTCCTCTTAACCACAGGCTTTTCTTTACACCAAGCATACATTGTACAAAAAAGAGGTTATGTTAGCGTTTTAACTCTGTCTTGTGTTAGATCAGTGATTTGTTAATGACAGCCAACTGGAAATGCTTTATTTACATGACTTCCCTTTCTGCCTGCTGCTCTTCGTGGCAGTTGTTTAGTTGAATATTGGAATCCACTGGGATAAATCTGTAAACATGATGGGTATAATGCCAAATATCTTTATATAATCAAAGAATGAAAAAATGACTTGGCTTTTTTTCTCCCATTCTAAGGAATAGAAAGCCCAGTCTTGTTGCATCCTTCTTATCTTTTAAAATTTACAGATAATTCATTGTGTCTTTGGAGCAAAATTCTTCCAACGTGACAAGAAAAATTACTGAATCTTAAAGCTGTGAAAAAATTCTTCCTTTCACTGCTGGTTTAGTCCTTTATTTTATGGAGGAAATAGTCTGTTCTTAGGCTAAGGTATTTTGGCTCATTTGTTACAAGTAAAGCTGACACTTGGGTTTATAGCAATGTATGTAGTTACTGAATGTATAGTACATTTTAGTGAATGATGGTTTACATATGTATTGGAAAAACTGTATTTACTTTGGTTTCATTTTCAGGGAAAGGCACTCCTAGGGGACATAAAATTAGTGATTACTTTGAGGTAAGTTACATTTTTTGAAAAAACAAAAAACCCAAAGATGAACTCTGTAGTGATTTAAAAAAAAAAAAAAAAAAAAAAAAAACCTAAATCCGTGTGTTTATTTGAGGCTTTAGAAAGTAATATTTTGGCCAGGTGAAGTGGCTTATGCCTGTAATCCCAACACTTTGGGAGGCTGAGAGGATCTCTTGAACCCAGGAGTTCAAGACCTGCCTGGGCAACATTGGGAAACCCTGTCTCTACAAAAAATAGAAAAAGTTAGCCAGCTGTGGTGACACATACCTATGGTCTCGGCTACTTGGGAGGTTGAGGTGGGAGGATCACTTGAGCCTGAGAAGTCCAGGCTGCAGTGACCCATGATCTACTGCAGTCCAGCCTGGGTGACAGAGTGAGACTGTGTCTCCAAAAAAAAAAAAAGTTATGTTTTGCCTTTACTGTACTCTTCTTCTCTTCCTCCCCATCTTCATCAATCAATGCTACTCCATCTCTCAATAAGAGAAAACTGCTGCTGACTTCCTAAATTTAAATTTACTACGTGTCTTGACTGTGATGATATAAAAATTCACAAATAAGGTGATTTTTCTCTTGGCCAGACAAGGTTTTGTGTCTTATAAAGACTGAGGTGGAATGACTTGGACTCTTCTTTTGTCCTCCTCCCTTTAGTCCAGTGGAACATATAGTGAGTTCCCTGACCCATCATTAGTGGTTACTAAAGAAGACACTAACATCACTGCACCACTGCATTTCTACTTTGTGTATTTTGAGACAAGAAGGGAAAACATTCTTCTCTCGTGTCCTTTCAAAATCATGTGTACCTTCAGCTTTCTAATCATGTTTTCTTTATATCTTGATATGTATCTGCTGGAGCTCCTTCTTAAAAATCTCAAGTTAGCAGAATTTGACTTACGTGGCATTTTTTTCTCTAGAGTAAGTTGTATTAACTTAAAGGGGCCATATAATTAAGACCTGTTTGTGTATTAATCTTTTACTCTCCTTATCTGAAGCATAGTACTGTTTTGAATTATTCATATCCATTTTTCCCTGTTGGCCAGTTTGCTGGGGGAAGCGGGCCAGGAACCAGCCCTGGCAGAAGTGTTCCACCAGTTGCACGATCCTCACCGCAACATTCCTTATCCAATCCCTTACCGGTAAGCATTCACCTGGAGAAATTTGACACCTGTTGTAGGAGACAAGATGCCCAGAAACACTCAAGCAAAGTTTCTCTTTCATTAATTGCCCACAGAGAATGAGGCATTAGGGAGAAAAGTTCATAGTTTTACCTATGAATCACTTACTTAGATTCAAATCTATATCAGCAAATTAGCTTTTTACAAAGGAGCCAATTCTATTGTCTCTATATAATAAATTACCTCTAATCCTATAGCTCAGTAGTAGATCAAAAAATTGATTCCAATCAAAACATTAGGTTTTTTACCTTGCCAAATTTGTATGTTCCCTTAGGGCTTTTTTCTTTTAAAATTTGACAAGCTTCTTGTATAATTGAGTTATCTCTAGGGCTTACTCAGTGATGCACTAGAAAAGCTAATGCTGTACAGATATGTGATCGGTTTGTTTCCAGCCTGTAAGAGAGATCCGAAGGTCTTAAAAGCATTATACCTAAGTTAGTGGTTCTCAGTTGGGGGCAGTTTTGCCCCTCAGGGACATTTCTCAATAACTGGAGTCATTATTGGTTGTCACAGCTGGAAGGCATGGGGATGAAACTATAGGCATCTACTGGGCAGAAGTCAGGGACACTGGTAAACATTCTGTAATGTTAGGACAGCCTCCCTGCAAAAAAGAATTATTTGGTCCAAAATATCACTGGTGCTGAGGTTGAGAATTCCTGAGTAAGCTAGTGTAGGATTATGTTTATTTGCTCCAGTGTCTTCGCATAATTTGTTGATACTGTGTAAGACCTCTTACTCAAGAGTGTGCTGTATCCCCTAATGCCTTCGGTATTGCCTCAGGTGGGATCTTGGGAGACAAGGTGTCTGGGACAGAAGTTTTTATTTTGGATCACTGATTTTTAGGAAAGTTGTTTTTCTTTGCCTTGGGAGAGTTGTATGAGAGTACTCATTTCCTAACTGATTTAGGCTTCTGTATTGTTAAAGTATTTAAATTTATTTATTTATTTATTTATTTATTTATTTACGAGTAGTTTCGCTCTTGTTACCCAGGCTGGAGTGCAATGGCGCGATCTCAGCTCACTGCAACCTCCGCCTCCTGGGTTTAGGCAATTCTCCTGCCTCAGCCTCCTTAGTAGCTGGGATTACAGGCACGTGCCACCATGCCCAGCTAATTTTTTGTATTTTTAGTAGAGCCGGGGTTTCACTATATTGACCAGGATGGTCTCGATCTCTTGACCTCGTGATCCACCTGCCTCAGCCTCCCAAAGTGCTGGGATTACAGGTGTGAGCCACTGCGCCCGGCCCTGTTAAAGTATTTTAAAATATACTTCCTGCCCCTCTACTGTCTCATAAAAAGCTACATTCATTAAGATTATTACAATTATTAAAGCACTTATTAAAACATCTAAGGAGTTTTGGCTATTACTGTGTCATCCTTGCCATATATTCATAATAATGTTTTTGTTTTTTTTTTTTGAGACAGTCTCGCTCTGTCACCCAGGCTAGAGTGCAGTGGTGCAATCATGACTACTGTAACCTCCGCCTCCCAGGCTCAAGTGATCCTCCCAACTCAGCCTTCTGAGTAGCTCGTACTACAGGCATGTACCACTACGCCCAGCTAATTTTTGTATTTTTTTGTAGAGGCGTGATTTCACCATGTTGCCCAGGCTGGTCTCAAACTCCTGAGATCATGTTATGTGCCTGTCTCCACCTCCCAAAGTGCTGAGATTATAGGCATTAGCCATTGTGTCAGGCCGTCCTTGCCATAGTTTATAATGTTAGAAATGTTTGATGATAGATCCAATTTGGGCAGGTTGAGGTTGTTAGATAACTGTTGAAGAGGCTAGGGTCTCTGTTTCTCTTAAGTTTTAAACCAATTAAAGTTTAAAAGATATTAAATGAGATAGCAGATTATCTATTTGGGACAGAGACACAGGAGAATTTTGTAGAAATTCTCAGTGTTGAAATTCTGTTTTGTAGAATTTCTCAGTGTTGTCTATAACTCTTTTCTTCCTGAAATCCTCTTTTTATTTGGTTTTTAATAGTGTGACTACCTATCTCTCCTATGTCATTTATTGGTTTAGGTTGAATCTTACCTGAAGACAAAAGAGATGAACTCAGTGATCTGTAGACATTTTTGCCAGCTATATGAAAGTGTCTGAGCCCTGTCATCATACAAATCTGATGATAGATGAGGTGTTAAAATAGGAACCAAAGCTTAATTCTCCACCTTTTCCTTGCCTGCCTCTAGGCAACTCAGCATGGTTGGAGGAACACACACAAACCAAGGTGACTGACTGATTTTCAGGTCATGAGCACTGACCTCATGTGTACCTCTCACTGCCTGCCAGTCCTACTGTATTTCTACTTCGTTCCCTTTCCTCCATGAATATGTCATATTTTTGTTATCTCCTGCAAACCTCCAGCAATTCTTCTACTAACTGATGGCCTTCCTTTTTTATTTTACTGAGAAAATAGAAGCTATCGGAAGAGAATTTCTACATACTTCTACACCAGATTTGCCAAGCTACTTGCATCAGTACTCACATCCATCTGCCTTTGGGATGAAAGAACTTGCTAGCCTTTCACATGGGTTCTGGTCTCCCCAATAATTATGTATCCAGCTGTCTACTTGCCATTTCCACTTGTGCTGCTTCAGCATGTCCAAAAAGGAACTCTTGCTCTCCCTTCCCTACCATAACAATAACACCGAACTGCTCTTCTCTAGTCTGCCTTGTTCTGGCAAATGACAGGTTATACCATCTGGTTTTTTAGGTCATAGCTTCATGCCCCAAATGTAATCCATCAGAAAATCCTGTTTTTCCTTTAAAATATGTTAAAATGTGACCACTTTTCTATTTCTGTTCACTGGATTAGCTTTCAAAGTGGTCTCCCTGTTTTTTGCCCTTGTTCTACCTGGTCTTAATATAATATCCCACATGATTATTAAAATGTTCAGACACATCCTGGCACTCCTCTGCTCAACACTGTCCAGTGGCTTCCTAGACTGAAGTCTTTATGTGACCTAAAAGCTCCTCCATGATCTGTGCTCCCTACTATCCACCTGGTTCTGACATTTGCAGCCATTCTCCCTCTCCTTCATGCCACTGCAGCCACACTGGCCTCCTTGAGCTCTGTGAAGAACACCTTTGCTTCGGGGTCTTTGTACTTGTTATTCCCTCTTCCAGGAAGGAACATGCTTTTCTCAAATATCAGCAATCTCTTCATCAGGTTGTTGCTCAAAAATGTCAGTCAAGCAGTCTCCCTTAGCCAGCTTCTCTAAAATAGCAGTTCCTCACACCTTGTCACTTTGTTCCTAGCCCTTTATTTTAATTCTGACACACCCATGTACATACATTTTAATATATCTTTAAATTTTTGTTGATTCATATTTATACATGCAGAAGAGTACACATTATAAGTCTACAGTTTAATGAATTTTCACAAACTCTACAAGCACAAGAAATACCACTAATAATGCAGAAGTTCCCATGTTCTTTTTCAGTTACTGACCCCCTGGTGGCTATCCACTAGCCCGACCTCTAACAACATAAATGAATTTTCTTGTTTTTGTATTTTGTATAACAGAATTATTCAGTGTATATTCTTGTGGCTAGTCCTTTTGTTCCATGTTACTTTTGTGAGGTTTGTCCATTTTGTTTTGTATTTTGTAGATCATTTATCGTCATTGGTGTGTTACAAGTTTAATTTTCATTTAATAATTTATATATTTTTATTTTCAACTACATATTTAATTGTCCATCTTGCCACTAGAATGTTAATCTCATAAGAATGGGGATTTTGCTTTGTTTTGTTTACTGCTCTCTTGTTACATAAAAGTGTAATTTTTAAACTAATTTCCCCCACTTGACATGTAAGCAATATCTTATTTCATTTTCAGTCTCCAGCATCCAAAATGGTGCTTGGCACACAATAGGTGCTCAAAATTATGCTGAAAGGGAAGAATAGATGGATAAAAAGTTATTTTTACCTTTTTACCTATGGAAGATTATTTGTATTTTTGTTAAATATAAAAAATATAAAAAGTATGTAAAACATGTAAGTTTTTATGCAGGAATTGACAAAGGACAGCTCACAGCTGGCAAGCTAGGAATGACTTTTATTTTTATATTTAAATTTATTTGATTTTATTTTTGGAGACAAAGCATCACTCTGTCCCTGAGGCTGGAGTGCAGTGGTGCAGTCTCGGCTCACTGCAACTTCTGCCTCCTGGGTAGCTGGGATTACAGGTGTGTGCCACCACACCTGGCTAATTTTTGTATTTTTAGTAGAGAGAGGTTTCACTATGTTGGACAGGCTGGTGGTCTCTAATTCCTGACCTCAGGTGATCTGCCTGCCTTGGCCTCCCAAACTGCTGGGATCACAGACATGAGCTACCTGGCATGGCAAGCTTGGAATGGTTTTTTAAATATTTTTTTTCTTTCTTTCTTTTTTTTTTTTTGAGGTGGAGTCTTCATCTGTCACCCAGGCTGGAGTGCAGTGGCACAATCTTAACTCACTGCAACCTTCACCCCCCTAGGTTCAAGCAATTCGTGCCTCAGCCTCCCAGGTATCTGAGATTACAGACATACATCACCATGCTCAGCTAATCTTTTTGAATTTTTAGTTGAGACAGGGTTTTGCCACATTGGCCAGGCTGGTCTGGAACTCCTGGCCTGAAGTGATCTACCTGCCTGGGCCTCCCAAAGTGTTGAGATTATAGGTACAAACCACCGAGCCTGGCTGAAGCCCTTTGCTTTAAATGTGGTTTATGTGATATTTAATATATCCAAACCATTGTGTGGTATAACTATTTCCATTGTTAATACTATTAAATTTGCATTATGTTTTCTGTCTATCTTTGGCAAATACCATATAATTGGATTTTGTTCTCTTAGGTCTAAAATTTTTCTTTTATTTACATTCAATATAATTACCAATATATTCGGTTTAGATGTATCATCGTTTAATGTGTTTATTTATCCTGCCTGTTCTGTATTCCTTTTTCTTTAATTTCTTGC